TTTTTTTTTTTTGTATTTATTTATTTATCTGGATGATTGAACTTACAAACATTTTTATTTACTTTTTTCTTCCATACAAAATTATTTGTCTGGGTGCCGCTTTATTTATTATGTAAAAAAAAAAAGGGACTTTATCAAATATTTCAGGAAAAATAAGAGAGACAGTAGATTTGCAGCTGCTTGACATTTCAGTCATTCATTTATTTGGCAAACTTTGCAACATGTAAAGATAAAACATGTCCAAAATTTTTAGTAAACTAACTTCTCGGTGCATTTAACCAGCAGCTGTTCTTTTTGTTTGTTTCATTTTAACTCTGCATCAATGAAGCCATTTTCAAGAATGTGTATTTTTCTTTATTCATACATTTTAAACAACGTAGTTTTGCGCGTGTTGGTGAGATATAGTTCCTTCTCACAGACGCCAGCTCGTGTTTTTCTGTTCCCAGATGAGCCCCGGCATGTTTAACTGCTCTGACCCCACACGTTTCATCTTTCCAAATAATACCCATTAGATTACTGGCATTAAGATGCAACGACAGCAATAATTATTTTACAAGTCAAAATATTTTTCTGTATCTCTCTGTACTGTAAGAATCAGGGGTTTAGCTGGACAGAGGAAATGAAAAAGAAAAATAAGAACTAAATTAAAGCCAGAGCTCGAGGTCTATCAGCTTACAGCTCAGTAATTCTCCGTGGATTTAAGTTTCGAAATATTACATGAGAGGTATAATACAGAGGCAAACATGACGGACAGCAGTGCCCACAGCGTATCCAGGACTGGACAGAGATCTTTCTATATCAAAATCATCTTTAATACCAAATAATCTTTCAATAAACCTTTAATCCGGGTGTCAAATCTCAGATCTTAGGATGATACTTTTTTTGTATTCCAGATGTGGTTACATATTTTAATCCACTGATATAACAGGACTTGGCAGGAGTGGTGTGGTTTACAAAAATATGAATTCATATCTGGAGCAGGGATCAGTGAAGAGAGAACTGCGTTGTATTAAATCAGGTTTGACAAAAGATGCTCGTTTTATTGCCTAGAGCATGAAAATCTCATTTTATGGATGAGTGTTTTTGTATCAGCTAGAAAATTATAGGTTTGTTAATTCATTAAAACACACAATACCTTGTTAATGTTTTGTGGCCGTCACCATGGCAGAGGGTGCTGAGATGGTTAAAAGCTCGTCAGGCGCCAGGAGTGGACGAGATTTGCCCTGAGATGCTGAATGCTCCAGATGTTGTTTAACACGTCTCTTTAACGTTGCGTCTTGGACTGGGACAGTCCCTGTAGAGTAGTGGACCATGGCTGTGGTCCCCATTTCTTAAAAAGAGAAACGGAGAGTTTGTTCCAACTTTCAAGGGGTCACACTTCTCAGCCGTCCCTGGAGAGTTCACACTGGTGGTTTAGAAGAGGGTACTGGTGGGATGCTTCATTTGATTTGATTTGTCAATCCATAGTTATTTGCTGTTTGTGTGGCTGTGACCCACACAGAGGGAAAGTACCAGACTGGCACTTTGTTTTTCTCCTCCTGTGGTGACCACACCAGCAGGGGCTGTCAGTCAAATGACGTCTTGAAGCAATTTTCTGAGGAGAAGCCAACAGTGTTGGTCACAGTGGTGTCGAAATGAACATGTCAGTGTGATCCTCTCTCTGGTACAAGATAATAATGGGTCTTTCACTGGAGTTTGTCTGTGGATCGTTTTTCTCTGAGCGGGGCAGCACGGTGGCTCAGGTGGTAGAGGTGAACCTCTCAGTGGGCGGTTGTGGCTGAGTGGTTAGAGCAGTCGTCCTCCAATGGGAGAGTTGGGGGTTCGATTCCACCAGCAGTCACATGCTGAAGTGTCCCTGGGCAAGACACTGAACCCCTAAATGCCTTTGATGTGTGTCCCATCAGTGAATGTGATAAAGCTCTGATCAGTTCTTGTAGAGATCTAGTAGAGTGCTGTAAGAATGAGGCACAGATTGTAAAGAGCTTTGAGTATCTTGAGAAGATAGAAAGGTGATATACAAGTACAGTCCATTTACCGTTCTCAGCTAGCATGGTTTTAATTTGTCTCTATGTGTCCCTGTGATGGACTGGAGACCTGTCCAGGTGTCCCCTGCCTCTCACTCAGGGACTTCTGGATATGGGTACCAGTGACCCGAAAAGGACAAAGCAGGTAAAGATAATGGATGGATGGATGAATAAATGGATGGTTTGGTAAAAAAAAGCCACAGCAGATGGATTTTCAAACCAGATTCAGGGGAAACCATGTGGTTTTGTTTGGGTCATGGAGCAGATCAGATCTTTACTCTTGACAACTTGTCACAAAGTTGAGCTTGCCCCTGTGCAGCAGGTTGGACTCGACCAGGACTTCTCCTTTTTCCACTCCTGTGTTCTTGGACAGGATGTCAAAGGGCAGTTGTGGAGAAGAGCATGAGGTTTAGGAACTTCAGGGATAACGTGGTACCACTGGTGTTCTCAGACCATGAACTTGTGTTTATTGTGACGGTTCATGTGAAGTGAGTCAAGCTCCTCCAAGTCTGAGGCCATAGCTCTAGAACAGAAAGAAGTACATGAAATAAATGTACTAATGAAACTCCTCCACTGCCTGAAGTGGCAATAAAAAACATTTAATTCTGCTTCAGCCTCATTAATGCAATCCCATCAGAGCACTGGAGAGAAGGTGAATAGATCTGACTGGATGACAACAGGTTTATTAAATGAATGCTAAACGGACTGTACTTATATAGACACCTTTCAGTCTGATCACGATACTCGAAGCTCTTTACAATCTGTGCCTCATTTACCCTGTCACACAGCTCTATACTAGATCTGTACAAAGACTAATCAGAGCTTTATCACATTCATTCACTGACGGGACACATGAGAGGCAGTGAGGGGCTCAGTGTCCTGCCCAGGGACACTTCAGCATGTGACTGCTGCTGGAATCAAACCCCCAACTCTACCATTGAAACACTGCTCTAACCACTCAGCCACAGCCGCCCCATTGTAAAGAATCATTTTTTACTCATTCTGATGGGTTCTGTTAAATATGAAAATATTTATTGTGAATAATAACATCTTGCGTTACAATTAACATTTTTATTTCACAAAAGCACAAAGAAAAAGACAAAACGTGACAAATTAATTAGGAATAAATAACAACTGCATTTAAATCACGGAGGAAAAAAGAATGTAATACTTCTTGACAAAAACAATAATAATTAAGAAACGTCATGTTGAACATTGTTTTCTCATGTGCTATGGTTCCCCTAGTTCCCCTTCCATGGTCCGGACCAGGACGTAGAGCTCGGCCAGTCCGACGACAGATGCAGCGATCACAGCTGATATGACCCGCTGGAACACAAACAACACAAACAACACAAACACAAACAACAAGCTTTAATTAGACTGGGAGACAAAGCGTGATCAGTAAGAAAACACGAATGCACTCCTCTTTAAATGTGTTTGTAAACACAACAAACGGTTCAGTTTAATGTTGGCAGTCACAGCAGAAGTGTGGGGTTGAATGTTTTGGACCTCATTATAACTCAACACCAGACAGGTGTACAGTACAAGCCCGGGCTGCTCCAGGTGTCCACCAGCACCAAACCATCAAGTACAAACCCACAAACAAACCGAGCGTGGAAACAGTTGTTGTCTCAGGGGAGTGGTGGCGCAGAGGTTAGGTGGGCCTGTGATCGGAGGGGCGCCAGTTAAACTCCCAGGACCTACAACATCAAAATGTGGGTGGGAAAGGGGAAACACCCACACCTGCCTCCACCCTCAGTTGTCCCACTCTGGACCCTTGAGCAAGGCCCCCACCATCTGCTCCACACAGAGGCTGTGGTAGCTCGGTGCCTGTGGTTGTGTCAGGAAGAACATCTGGTGTCAAAACAATCACCAGGTCTTCGTGTGAGTTAACTCACTGACCTCTGAAGAAGGGAGCAGCTGAAAGAAGAAGAAGCAACAAACAGCTTGTGTCATCTGATCCAGCCTCTTACCGTCTGATCGATGGGCAGAGAAACTTCTTTTCAGGAGCCTCACGTAATATTTTTGTTTAAAACTTGGGAGTGCAAAATGGCGGGCAACAAGCAATCCTTCAAGCAGCACTAGGTTCTACATCATACGACGTTTTGTTAATGAAGGATGGCAGGATGAAGCACACACACGGAGGGACAGGCTGGGGCTTCATCAACAGTGAACAAGGCTCTGAACTGTGCAGAAGGGGTAAGGAGGAGGTTAAAGGTGGACAACCTCATTCATTTCTCCACCTTTGTTCCACCACTCACATTTGTTTGCACATCTGGTTGCAGTGGTGACTCAATGTCCACCAGTAGTTTCATACCAGTATTCAACCAGTTTGTTTAATACGAAAACTAAAAAAGGGAGAATTTGCTCTGAATTCAAACCCAGTTCTCCCACATGAACCTTCCAGCTTTCATCAAACCGTCATACCTCATTAGTGACATCATTACTCTGATGTATTTGATGTAGACTGATGGCATGAACATTTTTTAAGTTTACCCCCCCCCCACTCATTTTGATACATAATCAGGTGCTCAGAGGAATAGTGATGGAAATGGATATTACAGCTTGTTTAGCTACTGTCAGCCCTTTCAAACAGGTGATTAACAGCTGGAAGGTAAACGACTCGAAGGGTTACAGTCAAATCAAATATTTGTAAATACGAACATTTTGCACAAAACGTATTGTTTGAATTATATGCTTTTGAATGTTCCCTTACCGCTGTGGTCTCCGTGAACAAATACTGACTTCCCATGTAGGAGCAGGCAAACGCAGCAACTACGGTCACCAAGAAGTTGAAAACAGTCACCACAACTGCTTTTACTGACCGCACTACAGAGGAGGAGGACAAGTCGAGCATTTCACTTCCTGTTGTCACACACCCAATATCACGTCACACGGACAACAAGTGGGACTCGCTTACCTTGCTGTCCCAAATCTGAGAATGTCCAATTTCGGCTGATCTCCTGAAAACAACAACAACAAAAGAAAACGTTCATTACTGTTGTAGAAAAATAAGATTCACTGATAGCACGGTGGCTCAGTTGGTAGAGCTGCTGCCTCTCAGTGAGGTCGCCGGTTCAAATCCCGGCCGGGGGTCTATCTGGGTGGAGTTTGCATGTTCTCTCTGTGCATGTGTGGGTTTTCTCCGGGTGCTCCGGTTTCCTCCCACAGACCAAAAACATGCATGTTAGGCTGATTGGTAACTCTAAATTGTCTCCAGGTGAGAGAGAGTGAATGTTTGTCTTGTTTGTCTCTGTGTGTCCCTGTGATGGACAGAGACACTGAACCCTCATAGCCTCTGATGTGTGTCCCATCAGTGCATGAATGTGATAAAGCTCTGATTATTCTCTGTATAGATCTAGTAGAGTGCTGCACAGATTGTTGTAAAGAGCTTTGAGTATCTTTATCTAATAAAAAGTTACATACAAGTACTGTCCATTTACCATTTTACACAAACAACAAAATCCCACACAGACTTTAATGCAGGACGGATGATTGTCATGTACCTGAGTGTTAACATTACGTGTCATCCGGTTGTATTCCTCATTGGCAAGTTTTGCTTTGATCTTCTCCAGACGTGCTACAAGCTCAGGATTCTGTGGAAAACAAAGTCAATTACTACGACACCAAACATCGTTCTGTGAACGGTCCTCAAGTTACAGTTTAAATAAAAAGCAACAAAATATTTTTTCTCAAGCAATTATTGCATGCAAACAAGAATACAGACACGACACAATATAAACTTGAAAATGTTTCGTCTGCCATTGTTTTCTACCCATCTTCTTCCTGGGACTCTACTGTATAAATGATGATGGGTACTACTTCCTGTCAAACAGGAAGTAGCAGTAAGCATTGGTTAACTAGTGCAGCACGGACCACGGTTTATTTGAAAGTTATTACATTCAGTTTAGCAGATAAAACTGTTTTTGTTTTGTTTATATTTATTTAACAACCATCAAGTTTACTAAAACAGCCGTGCTGCGTTCAGGTACCTGTTGTGTTCACGGCTGCAGAACAACCAGACCAAACTAAATCAGTGGCTTCAACAACAGAGTTTGAACACGGACCAAAACAAAAAGAGTGTTTCTGTGTAAAGACGTATAGTTTCATCTCCTACCTACAGATGATGAATTAAGAAGAATGTGTCTGAAAAATGTGAACTTGAAGAGACCACCCAAAACACTGTCTGTGAATTCATTTCACTTTGTTGACAAACGGCCGACGGAGGAAAACCTGCATCCTACTTTGTGTCTGGACGACAATAAACCACCGGAGAAGAGACGGATCCTCAGAAGGATTGAAAACAGTGACGAGAACATCAGGGATGATTTCAGGTGGATGGAGGTCACATCATTGTAATATTTGTTTATATTTACAGTTTTATGATTGTCTCTGTAATTAACTCAAGCTCAGTGATGGAGGACTTTGAGTCTTTGGCTGCTCTGTGTCTGATTTAAGGTCAATAAGATTGTGTCCCACCACTTTTAACAAAACACACCGACCTTATTACTGTGGAGACACTGATCCACCTCAGAGCTTTTCAGGTTGTTCATTACTTCACTGTCTGAAGAACTGAGTCAGTGATGTAGATAAATATGCTAGATGTAGCTAAATATGCTAGATGTAGCCAAATATGCTAGTAGATATAGCTAAATATGCTAGTAGATATAGCTAAATATGCTAGATGTAGCTGCTAGTAGATGTAGCTAAATATGCTAGTGGATGTAGCTAAATATGCTAGTGGATGCAGCTAAATATGCTAGTAGATGTAGCTGCTAGTAGATGTAGCTAAATATGCTAGATGTAGCTGCTAGTAGATGTAGCTAAATATGCTAGTACATAATAATAATAATAATAATGTCATCACAATGTCAGCACTGTATGTTTCCATACAATGGCGAAATTAGTCTCTGCATTTAACCCATCCACCACCAGGTGGTGCAGTGGGCGGCTATTGAAAGCGCCCGGGGGACATTTTGGGGATGAGACGTGCTGCCCAGAGACGCCACGTGATGTGCAGTGACTGGGGATCGAACCTGGGACTTTCGGGTCCCAAGCCGGCTGCCCTGCCTCTACACCATCTCGGCCCCCATTACATGCAGCTAAATATGCTAGATGTAGCTGCTAGTAGACGTAGCTAAATATGCTAGTAGATGTAGCTAAATATGCTAGATGTAGCTGCTAGTAAATGTAGCTAAATATGCTAGTAGATGAAGCTAAATATGCTAGATGTAGCTGCTAGTAGACGTAGCTAAATATGCTAGTAGATGTAGCTAAATATGCCAATAGATGCAGCTAAATATGCTAGTAGATGCAGCTAAATATGCTAGTAGATGTAGCTAAATATGCTAGTAGACGTAGCTAAATATGCTAGTAGACGCAACTAAATATGCTAGTAGACGCAGCTAAATATGCTAGTAGACGCAGCTAAATATGCTAGTAGATGCAGCTAAATATGCTAGTAGATGCAGCTAAATATGCTAAATATGCTAGTAGACGCAGCTAAATATGCTAGTAGACGCAGCTAAATATGCTAGTAGACGTAGCTAAATATGCTAGTAGACGTAGCTAAATATGCTAGTAGACGTAGCTAAATATGCTAGTAGATGTAGCTAAATACGCTAGTAGATGCAGCTAAATACGCTAGTAGATGCAGC